GAGCTGGAGAGATGGCTCAGAGGTTAAGAGCACTGACTACTCTTGCAGAGGACCCAGGTTCGATTCCCAGCACCCACATGGCAGCTACGAACCGTCCTTAACTCCAGTTCTAGAGGAATCCAAAGAAGCCCTCTTCTGACCTCTGCAGCATTGAATGACAGGGGTGCACTCACATATATGCAGGCAATACACTCATACACAAGGCTTGGTCTCTAATGCTGCACATTCAGAGCCAGGGAGGGCTTTTAGGAGATGATTGATTCTGAGGGTTCTGACTTCATCAAAGTGTTGCCCAGGCTGCCGGACCTCAACAGGACCAACAGAAGTCATCAATCCTGATTTTAGTAAGGCCATGAGGGTAGGTCCCAATCTGCTTCCCCTACACCTGACCACTACCAGACCCAAATATGGGGCTCTTCTCCCTTCCCCTACAACGCCCAGAAAACTAGGCATACCTTACCTCACAGTAAACAATGTCTGCTCCATAATCCAGGGCCAGGAGCCGCATTGGGAGAGTCCCCACCTGAACCATAGGGGCTAAGATGAGTTTGTTGTGGTAGCACAGAGAGAGGCTAGTCACAATCGTTCCTCCTCTGCTGTACCTGAAGAAAGAGAAAACAGAGGTGAGAAATTTAAGTTGAAGGGCCAGTGAGAATGCTCAGTCAGTAGGTAAAAGCACTTGCTGCCAAGTTTGACGACCTGAGTTCCATCCCCAGAACCCACAGTGGAAGGAGAAAACTGACTCCTGCGAGTTGTCCTCTGACCACGTGCGCACACACACAAATAATGATTTTAAAAATAATTTTTTAAAAAAATTTTACAAAAAGAAATGTAAGTGGGAAAAAAAAATCCTTTCTGTCATCAAGGGTGGGCTTTCTAACCTACAGTCACTTGCTTTCCTTTCCCCCAATCATAAAAAGAATCACGCTCAATCATTCATCTAACAACTATTCATTAAGTGCCTAGTTTGTGCTAATCACTGGGCTATATAAAATAAAAGTCAGGGGCTGGAGAGATGGCTCAGCTATTAAGATCACTGGGTGCTCTTGCAGAAGACCGGAGTTTGATTCCCAGCACCCACATGGTGGCTAATAGCTATCAGTAACTCTAGTTTCAGGAGCTCCAATACCCTTTTCTGACCTCCATGGGCATTGCACAACATGGGTACACCTAAAATAAAAATAATAAAATATTTTTTAAAAAAGAATACACAACAGAGGCAATAGCCAGTGCAAAAGAACTAAGGCAGGCGCTTATCTGGTGTGTCAGAGGAATGGTAAGGAGGTCAGTATGACTATACCACAGGAAGAAGAGGAAATAGCAGAAGGTACATGATGTAACAGCAGTAAGAAGATAAGAGACAGCACTCAGATCATGTAGGACCTTGTGGGGCACTGAGGTCTTTGTTGTCTCTTCATAAAATGAGACAATAAAGGGTTATAGGTGGAGGAATGGCATGCACTAACTCACGTGTTCATGTGATCACACTGACTGCTGTATTAATAGCAAACTGGAATGCTGGGGACAAGGAAAGACTTGTAGCAGGCAGACTTCAGGAAAAGTTCAAAGGCCATTCAGTACTCAATGTGAGAGATGATGGGGGCTTAGTGAAGGTGGATGAGATGTGATCACATTCTAAAAATACTGTGAAAGGAAAGGCACTAGGAACAAATAGAAGTTGGGACCAGGCATGGTGGCACATGTCTATAATCCTAGCACTTGGGAATTTGAAGCAGTAGGATCAGTGAAAGTTCAAGGCCAACTTGATCTACACAGTGAGCTCTAGGCCAAGCAGGGATATATAGGGAAAGAAAGAAAGGGAAGGAAGAAAAAGGAGGGAGGGAGGAAAGGAAGGGAGGGTAGAAGAAGAGACATTATCATGGGCTAGAGAGGTAGCTCAGTCATAGGGCATTTGCCTATGCCCTGGGATGCATAAGGCCCCAGTTTCCATCCTCACAAAGAAAAAGAAAGAAAATAAAAGATAACTATTATTGATATGTTCTACTAATCAATAGATCTTATTAAGCTGGCCATATAGACTCACACCTGTAATTCCAGCATTGGATCCTCCTGCCTTATCCTCCTCAGTGCTGGGATTACAGCCATGCACCACCACACCTGGCTAAGAAATCATTTCTAATCTATGTTCTAAAAGAACAGAAGTGTTGACCATGCCAAAATGTAAGTCCTTCCCATGCCAAAATGTAACTCCTTCCCATTTCCACAGACAGCACTCCCTTATGTATCCCTCCTCAGCCCACACACTCCTCAAACTGTTACCAGTGGTCAGGTTGTTGTCTAGATCTGATATTTGCAGGTTCTTGGCCTCTTAGCCAAAAAACTGAAAAAGGGCTCACAAAGATCTGCAAAAGTAGCAAGACAACTTTTTTTTTTTTTCTTTTTGGATAGGGTCTCACTATGTAGCCTTGGCTGGCCTGGATCTTGGTATATAGACCAGGCTGGCCTTGAGCTTACAGAGAACTGTATGTCTCTGCTTCCAAGTGCTGGGATTAAAGGTGTGTGCCACCAAGGTAGTTTATATCTCCCTGTACTGGGGCCGGCCTGGAATTCACTATGTAGACCAGGTTGGCCTTGAACTCACAGAGATCCACCTGCCTTTGCCTCCCCAGTGCTGGGAATAAAGGCGTGTACCACCACTCCTGGCTAATAATATATATATATATTTTATTTTTTTAATTAAGTTATTATTTTTATTTTATGTGTATGCGTGCATTGCCTGCATGTAGGTAAGTGCACCCATGCCATGCAATGCCTGTGGAGGACAAAAGAGGCTGTCGGATCCCCTGGAACTGGCGTTATAGACAGTTGTTAGCTGCCATGTGGTGCTGGGATTCGAACCCGGGTCTTCTGCAAGAACAGTCGGTGTTCTTAACCGCTAAGCCATCTCTCCAGCCCCTAAACTTAACTTTTTAAAAAGAGATATACTGACAAGATTGACAGCAGGGCACATGAGTGAGAGTACTCAAGGGTCCCAGTTAACTGCCTAGAGTCTATTTTTATGGGGTCTAAAGGAAAGAAAGGATATTTACTAAAAGGCATAGTCAGGGTGGTTCTCAATTTTGATTGATAGGTTAAGAGCATATATACACATTTTTCTTATTGTGCATGACCATTCCCATAATGCATCTGATTCTAATCATATTCATGTCCAATTAAGCATAGGCATAAGATGGTAAATAGAGGGAGTCTATCTAAAAGTTTACATGAAGACAGTTTTGCCTTACTTTGTAAGTACCCAAAACCAGTTCAGACCAGGTCACCAAGCACCCAAAGCTACTTTAGGATAGATCAGCCTTTCTATTCTTCATACAAATACATTGAAACTAAACTTGAACAGAAATTATAAATTTGATTGTTGTTGGGGTGGAGAAACTTGAATTATTGCTCAGAGAAGAGTATGCATGCAGCCCAATGCAGGTGGGAGTCTGAGGGGACTGAAGTTGCTAAGTGCCTTGTTTGGAGAGGGGTATGTATACATAGCACATGCAGGTAAAGGAGCAAGGCTATCAAATGCTATTACAAGATAGGGATGTGCATAACAAAACCAAAACAGGGTCCCTGGCCACTAAACTATTCTGCATGCTTGCCTACCTCACAACCAACCACCACCATCTCACTTTTTTTAAAAAGTGGGTGTGAGTGTTTTGCATGCATATATGTAAGTGCACCACATGCATGCAATGCCTGAGAAGGTCAGAGGAGGGTGCTGCATCATCTGGAACTCAAGTTATGAACAGTTGTTAGCAGCTATGTGGGTGCTAGGAACAAAACAAGGATCCTCTGCAAGAACAGCCAGTGCTCTTAACCACTCTCCAGCTACCACTATCTCATTCTTGAGGTAATTTCCAAAATGAAATTCCAATCTATATTCTCTGCTCTATCTCCATCACTACCATTATTCCTAAAGTCCCAACCCTATCTCTTGCCAGCTAGGACTTCAGCCTAGTCTCCTAAGGGATCTCCAAATATACAAACATTCTCTCTCTCTCTCTCTCTCTCTCTCTCTCTCTCTCACACACACACACACACACACACACACACAATTTGGACAGGGTCTTGTAATGCAGCCTAAGCTCCATTTGTCCTTGTCTCCTAAGTAGTATGATTACAGGCATGTGCTACCAGATGAGGTCCCAATCTACTGACCTTTGCTCCCTCCTATCTACTTTCTTCCTAACAGCCAGCAGGACATCTTTAAAAAGTAATTTACTGTGTATTTGTGTGTGTGCTTAAATTTTTTTTTTAATCTTTTTGAGACAGGGTCTCCCCGTGGTCCCAGCTGGTGAGCTGGTGTGATGCTTTCTATATAGATTAGGCTGGCCTTGATTTCACAAAAATCCACCTGCCTGGGCCTCCCTGGTACTGGGATTAAAAGTGTGTGCCACCATGCCCAGCTCTGTGTGCGTGTGTGTTGAGGCAGACCCTCATATAGCCCAGGCTGGCTTCACACACTATGCACCAAAGAAACATTTTGAACTCCTAATCCTCCTGCCTCCACCTCCCAAGTGTAAGGCTTATAGGTATGTGTCATCACACCCTGAGTTTAAATCACTGCATTCTTTCCACCTTTCAAAGACTTTCCATGGAATTGAGGACGAACTGAAACCCTTCAAACAGCCTACAAAGCCCTGCATGAGCCATACCTGCCCGTATCTCCCACTCACTCTCTACTCTAACCACAATGGCTCTCTGTTGCCCTAGGGCCTACTTCCGGTTATCTCTGTCAGAAATGCTCTTCACACATACGCTCCCACACTTAAGGTCCCTTGTCCTTGAATTTCCCCTTGGTAGAGATGTGTCTCTACAAGACCATCAACTTCAGGGCCTTGATCACAAAATCCCACAACACCCAGTACTCCTGGATAGTTCAAGCACAACCATATGCCCATATCAGTTAGTGTAGTTTCCTGTTTAATTCCCAGCTCCTCTGACCATCAAGATAACAAGTTCCATAAGGACAGGACTGTAGCTTCTTGGTTTGCAACCAGGTTTCAGTCCCTGGCCCTGAGTGCCTGCTTCCTTAGTCGCCTAGTTTAGGAACTCCCATTGGTACAGAAACACACATCTTGTTTCAAAACAGGTAGGCAGGTCCCACCTCCTTCCGCAACCACCTCCCCTTCTCCCCATCACACTAGACCACAATTTTAGTCATTCAGACAATCTCTTGTACTGTTCCTCTTAAGACCTAACCTCTTGAACTATTTCCAAGTTGATGACTCCCAATTTCTCCCTTATGGGTAGGTGAGATAGCTCTCAACAGGTATGTGCCACCCTTGACAAACCTGAATTTGACCCTTAGAACCCACAAGGTAGAGAGAGATAACTGACTCCTAACTCCTACAGTTGTCCTCTGATATTCACACGCACACACGATGGCACATACACCACACACATAAACACACAATAAATAAATGTAATAAAAGGCTGCTAATTTCTTTCTTAGAAAATAACCTTAGTTGGGTATGGTGGAGCACACTTTTAGTCCTAGCACTCTGGAGGCAGAGGCAGGTGGATCTCTGTGAGTTCAAGGCCAGCCTCATCTACATAGAGTTTTAGGTCAGTTGGGGCTACAGAGAGACCCTGTCTCAAAAAGACCAAAAAAACAAAGGAAAAGAAAAAAGAAAATAACCTTAGTTTTAATTGTGTAGATATGCTATCCCATTAATTATAATCCTTTCAGATTGAAAATTGAAATAGCATTATTCAAGGAAAACAATAAATAGGGAAAAGGGGGGAATAACTTTTGCCAGTCTCTTCCATGTCGATTTTCCCAAAGACTAAGACCTCCTTTAGAAAGTCATTTCAAGCTGGGCGTGGTGATGCATGCCCTTAATCCCAGCACTCTGTGGAGGCAGAGGCAGGCAGAGCTCTGTGATCAAGGCCAGCCTGGTCTACATAGTGAGTTCCAGGCCAGCTGGGGCTACAGGGAGACCCTCAAAAACACCAAAATAATAAATAAACAAATAAATAGCCATTTCTGTCCAGTGTGATGGTACATGCCTTTAATCTAAACAAGCGGAAGGCAGAGGCAGACAGACCTCTGTGAGATAAAGGCCAACCTGGTTTACATAGTAAGTTAAAGGCCAGATGGGACTACAGGGAGACCCTATCTCAAAAAAAAGCTATTTCTGCTGGGCAAGATGGCACTTGTCTATAACCCTAGCACTCAGGAAGTGGAGGCAAAAAGATTGTGAATTCAAACCTAGCCTAGGCTACATAGTGAGACCTCTTAAAAAAAAGCTCTATGACAATCAGAGCATATTTAAAGTGTCTTGCCCCGAATAGCTTGGTCTACAGAGTATAGCACAGTGTCAAAAACACATTACGGGGACTGGAGAGATGGCTTGGTGATTAAGAGTACCCAAGTAAAAGACTTGGTTCAGTTCCCAGCACCCACATGACAGCTAACAACAGTCCATTAACTTCAGTTCCAGTGGATCCAAAGCCCTCTTCTGACCTTCACAGGCATTTACGGGCACATTTAAGTGCAGGACAGGGGTGCACTTAGATACATGTAGGCACCTGCCATTAAGCCTTCTGACTTGAATTCGATCTCCAAAACCAACATGGTAGAGAGAGAGGACCACCTCCAGAAAGTTGTCCTCTGACCTCCAAAGAAGCACTGTAGCACACACATACCCTCATACCTACACATAAATAAGTGTAATTTAATTTTCGGTCTTTTTCTTTCATTCATTCATTCATTCATTTATTTAATTTTTTGGTCTTTTTGAGACAGGGTCTCCCTGCAGCCCTAGCTGTCCTGGAACTCACTATGTAGACCAGGCTGGCCTTGAATTCACAGAGATCCACCTGCCTCTGCCTCCCAAATGCTGGGATTAAAGGCGTGCACCACCATGCCCAGCTATTTTTATTTTATGTGTATGTGTGTATTGCCTGCATGTAGGTAAGTGCACCTGTGTCGTGCAATGCCCACGGAGGACAGAAGGGGCTTTTGGATCCCCTGGAACTGGAGTTACAGACAGTTGTTAGCTGCCATGTGGGTGCTGGGATTTGAGCCCCAGTCTTCTGCAAGAACAGCCAGTGTTCTTAACTGCTGAGCCATCTCTCCAGCCCCTCTTATTTTTATTTTATGTGTATGAGTGTTACGCCTGCATGTGTGCAAATGCACCCATGTAGTGCAAGGCCCACAGAGGACAGAAGAGGGTGTTGAATACCCTGGAACTGGAGTTACAGACAGTTGTTAGCCATATGGGTGCTAAGATTTGAACCCAGGTCTTCAGCAAGAACAGCCAGTGCTCTTAACTGCTGAGCCATCTCTCCTGCCCCGTAATTTAAGTGAAGGAAGAGGAGGAGATGATGATGAAATTGGGTCAGATTCTTGAGGAAGAGTAGGAGATAATTTGTACACAAGAGAGTCATTCATGAATGGCTTTGGAGTCAAGAGGTGGCATGGCCATAGCTGTATTTCAATAATACCATTCAAACAACAGATGGAGGGTTTTTCGGTCTTTTGAGACAGGGTGTCCCTGCAGCCTCAGCTGGCCTGGAGCTCACTATATAGAGCACTGGCCTTGAACTCAAAGAGATCCACATGCCTCTGCCTCCCAAGTGCCTCCACTTGAGAGAACTGAGACCTTACCTCCAGGTCAGAGGGGAAATAAGCTGAAGGCCACCAGCATGCATTCTGGGCTCTCAGCTAGAGGGGAACAGGGTTCCCTTTGCCTCAGTCCCCAGGCCTACCATTCATTCAGACTCACAATAAGCATGTATCAGTCCATATCTGAAAAAGCATCTCCGCACTCCATACCCTAGGAGTTTACTGGGGCGACCGGCTCTGAACATAGGAGCAAGGAAGATGACGAATGGGAATCGCAGAGACTTGAGCACCCAACTCCTGGTTCACTGGGCCAGGGCCCCACAGCCACCTCCTATTTCCGAACCCCCCACTCCTGCCTCCATCGCATGCCCTTCCCGAAAGATGAGCCCGGTCTGGACATCACCATCCCCAGTTGGAACTACAGACCTCACAGTAAAGAACCTCCCCGCTTCCTGACGGAGTTCCAGAGCCACACGCCTCACTGAGCTGCGCCAGCCACCGTACCCGAGACCACGGGCGCACACATGACGTCACGGACACGCGCCTCTTCTGCTTGTTGGGAACCATGGCAATAACCCGGTCCTTGCGGCTGCTTTCGCTCGCAGTAGGGCTGCTCCTGGAATCCCGCCGTAACCTAGCGGTCCGCGGTTAGGACGAGCCCTTGCCGGTGGCGCGCGCAGCACGAGGCACCCAGCCTGCGGAACCTCTCGTCCTCCGGCAGCTTGGCTGACCTGGGTCTGGAGCCCCGGCTGCTGCTGGCACTTCAGGATGCTGCCCCCGAAATCGTTCGGCCCACAACGGTGCAGTCGAAGACCATCCCCCAACTGCTTCGCGGTCGCCACATCCTTTGCGCCGCTAAAACCGGCAGTGGCAAGACTCTGAGCTACTTACTACCCATGTTTCAAAGGCTCTTGAGCCGTCCAGACTTGATCTCCCGAAGTACCGCCTCTCCCCGGAGCCTGGTTCTTGTGCCTTCCCGAGAATTGGCGGAACAGGTGCAGGCTGTAGCCCAGTCATTGGGTAGTTCCTTGGGCCTGCAGGTGCGGGGACTAGGGGGTGGTGGTGGCATGAGTAGGCTCAAACTGCAGCTGTCCAGACTACCGTCAGCAGATGTACTAGTGGCCACTCCAGGGGCTCTATGGAAGGCCCTGAAAAGTCAGCTGATCAGCTTACAGTATCTCTCCTTCGTGGTGTTGGATGAAGCGGACACACTGCTGGATGAAAGCTTCCTGGAACTGGTGGACTACATCTTGGAAAAGAGCCCTATAGCAGAAAGCCCAGCTGATTTAGACGATCCCTTCAATCCCAAAGCACAGTTAGTGCTGGTGGGAGCCACATTTCCTGAAGGTGTAAGCCAAGTGCTGAGTAAAGTCACCAACCTAGACTCTCTCACCACCATCACCAGTGCCAAGCTCCACTGCATCATGCCTCATGTCAGACAGACATTTATGAAACTAAAGGGAACAGAGAAAGTGACAGAGTTGATTCAGATCCTCAAGCAGCATGACAAAGCAAAAAAGACTGGACCCTCAGGAACGGTCCTTGTGTTCTGCAACAGCTCCAGCACTGTGAACTGGCTGGGATACATTCTGGATGACCACAAGATCCAACATCTAAGGCTACAAGGGCAAATGCCAGCCTCAATGAGGGCAGGCATCTTCCAGGGCTTCCAGAAGGGATCTCAAGACATACCTGTCTGCACAGACATAGCTTCACATGGCCTAGACAGCATTCATGTGGAACTGGTTGTCAATTATGATTTCCCCCCTACCCGGCAGGATTACATCCACAGAGCAGAAAGAGTGGGTCGTGTGGGGAGCGAGGTACCAGGAACCGTCATCATCTTTGTGACCCATCCCTGGGATGTGAGTCTGGTTCAGAAGATTGAGCTGGCAGCTCGCAGAAGAGAAGCCTTCCAGGACTAGAATCATCCATGAGAGATCCTTTGCCTCCTCTGCAAGCCTAATTGTTGAGTGCCTTAAATGTAATTCTAGAGCAGTTAGGTGGCACTGGGCTGCCCTGTTGCCTTCCTGAGGGCATGATGAGCTGTTTGTAGCTTTGAAAAGTAAGCTGCCAGTCAGGATTGGAAGGTAGTCTGATATTCAAAAAATAAAGTGGATTTTGACTTCATATTATGCATGATTTTTTTGTTGTTGTATGTGTATGTCCACACATGGGTGTGACTGTGTGTGCATAGAGAGCAGAGGACAACTTTATGTAATATTCTCCTTCTATGCTTAGAGATCAAACCAGATCACCAGGCTTGCTTGGCAAGCATCTTTACCTGCTGAGCCATCTCAGTGGTCCTCATGTCATCATTTATTTTTGGGGGGAGGCGGGGGGATTTTTTGAGATAGGGTCTCCCTGTAGCCTCAGCTGGCCTGGAACTCAGTCTGTAGGCCAGGGTGGCCTCCAACTCACATAGATTTGCCCGCCTCTGCCTCCCGAGTGCTGAGATTAAAGGTATGTGTCACCACACCCAGCCTTCATGTCATGATTTCTAACAGTAGTTTGTTGGTGTGTTTTGAGACATTGTTAATGTAGCCCATGACAGACTTGAATTCACTATGTGTAATACTCAGACTCATTTCTAGTGATCCTCTTTCCCTGTATGCTCAGTGCTAGGATTATAGGTATGTGCCTCTACACCTAGCTAATATATATATATTTTTTTAATGGATTCCCTTAACAGGGAATTCAGTAAATTTTGAGGACTGGCACGCTACCATATGTAGGATTTTGTAGGTTTGGAGTTAAGATTTATTTTTTAATTATGTATCTATGTGTGGGAGTATGTAAACATGCAGATGCCTTCAGGTCAGAAGAGGGTGTTGAATCCCCTGGAGTTGGAGTTACAGGCAGTTGTGAACCCATGTGGGTGATGGGAACCAAACTTAGGTCCTCTGCAAGAGCAGTACACACCTTTTTAAAAATATATTTTTTTATATTTTATGTGTATGCATGTATTGCCTGCATGTAGGTAAGTACACCTGTGTTGTGCAATGCCTGAGGAAGGCAGAAGAGGTTGTCGGATCCCCTAGAACTGGAGTTACGGACAGCTGATAGCTGCCATGCGGGTGCTGGGATTGGAACCCGGGTCTTCTGCAAGAACAACCAGTGTTCCTAACCACTGAGCAATCTCTCCAGCCCCAAGAGCAGTACACACTTAACTACTCATTGGGGTTTTGTTTTGGGTGAGGGTTTTTTTTTTTTTTTTCCTTGCCATGCTGGCAGTTTAACCCAGGACCTCAAATATGTTAGGCAAGTGCTCTTCTACTGAGCTAAATTGCATCCCCAACCCTGCTGTTTTCTTTCTTTGGAAAGGGAAGTGAAAGGGTTGTCTTTTTGTATTGTGTCATGAATGTGTTTCCCATTTTCTACTAAAATGGTCTGTAAATCCCTCTTTGTAATGTCACTGGCAAGTACCATTTTCCCTTGCAGCACCTTCAACATTCTTCCCAATGTATGACAACTTTAAATATAATGACCTAAAGCACCTTTAAATATGATGCACTTGTCATCACATCTCTTGTCAGCTATAAATCATGAATATGAAGCCCTACTACTGTTGAAAAACACCTTATTGGGGCCAACCAGATGGCTCAGCAGGTTAAGGCACTTGCCACCAAGTCTGACAAACTTGAGTTTCATCTGAAGGACCCACATATGGAAGGAGAGACCTGACTCCCCTGAGTGTGTATGGAAACGCCCACAGACAGATTTTTACCACTTCTGTGTAACTTTAAGCCTATGGACTTAATAATTCTTTGGATTTTGCAGGGGTTGAGAGATGTTTGGAATGTTTTGTTTTGTTTTGTTAACAGGGTCTCTGTAGCCCCAGCTGGCCTGAAACACCCTATTGTAAGTCAGGGTGGCCTCAATCTCAGAGATTCACTTGCCTCTGCCTCCCAAGAACTGGGATTCCAGGCATGCACTGCCACACCTGGCTAGTTTTGGTTTTTTGAAAATGGTCTTATTCTATAACTCAGGCTGGCCTAAAGGTCTCGCTCCTCCTGCCTCAGCCTTTATTTTAAGATTTATTTATTTATGCATTTATTATTTGGAAATTGAACTCATACTTGGAGCCACAGCCTTTACTTACTAGCCATCCCACCAGTCCTGCCTTTGCCTCAGCCTTCTGAATCCTGTGATTATAGCTGTGTGCCACTTGACCTGGAACTTTTTTTTCTTTTTCTAGACAGGATCTCATGTAGAACAGGCCGGCCTCAAACTTGGTATGTAGCCAAGGATGACTTTGCACTTCTGATTCTCCTGCATCTACTCCCAAGTGCAGGAATTATAAAAGTGTGCCAACATACCCTGGTTTATCTAGTACTGGAGCAGGAACCAAGGGCTTGGGGCATGCTAGGTAAGCATTCTAAATATCTAAATACAGCTATACCCACAAAATAAATTTTCTTTATTTTATTTTTGGTCTTTTTGAGACAGGCTCTCCCTGTAGCCCCAGCTGGTCTGGAACTCACTGTGTAGATCAGACCGACCTTGAACTCAGATCCACCTGCCTCTGCCTCCTGAGTGCCGGGATTGAAAGCGTGAGTCACCTTCCCCGGCTAAAATAGATTTTCTAAAGACCTCAATTGTAAAAGGATGAGTGTTCTACTAATTTATACTTGGGACAGACTAAAGTCAAGAAAAGCCTATCGGCTTTTATTCTTGCCAATTATATGCCCTCTACACCTTTCTGATCTCACATATCCTTCAGGCCCATTTCCAAGGACCTCCCCCAGTCCTCTGGTCCACCAGAATTCCTGTCTCTCTATTGCTTAGTCAGGGAGATACAATCTAGCCATCTCAGATTAATCTTCACTCTCTGACCAATCTCAGAATTTGGGTTTCATGTGTCCTGTGGTCACTGGGGCTGTGCCCACCCAGAGATGTTCTACAGAGTGTAGCTACTTAAGTAAGATGCTGGTGGGTGGGCAGGTGGGAGAGCCCTGGCAGGGTTTCTCTTTGCCTTTACCCCACTTTCTTCCCTAAACACCAAGGCCCTGAAGCCAATTCCTCAAGTCTGTCTACCTCAGAACTTCTCTAGCTATGAGTAGAAAAAAATGGCCTGGTATTTGCTCAGAGACCAACAATTATTGCTGGAAACTGAGGGCAAAGACGTCATCTCTAGGCAAGTGTTTATTTAGAAAGCACCCAGCTCCTTTATCATTTAGCTTTACTTTTGTGCTATATAATTCTTCCTTCAGACTCTGAGTTTTTTCTTGGATGGGAGGGTTTTTTTGGTTGTATTTTGGTTTTTGAGATAATCTCACTATGTAACCCAGCTGACCTCCAACTTGTGGCAATCCTCCTGCTTCTCCGTCTCAAAAGACGGATCAGAGGGATGCCTGGCCAGACCCTTTCTTGATTAGACTCAGAACAAAACCAAGTGTACCTCCTTGTCAAATGGAGCAGTATGAGAAAGAGCTCTGGAAAGCCTCTTGTAAGCCTGTCCTTCAGATCAAGGCACTGTTACCATGCTGTTACAGAAAAACACATATGGGTTCCCCCTCAGATACATGCCAGTCTGAACTGCTGAGTACTGGAGCAAGGAATGAAGGGTAGTATCTTACAAATGGGAAGAATAAATGGGGAACAGATGGGAAGATCTGGGGATGGGGGTTAAGTGCTATCTCATGAGGCTGGAGGTCTGAGGAAATGGTGTCCTAGGAAGTTGGGCCAATGTGAAAAGTCACTTTAAGAGTAAACTTTGGGCCAGGCGTGGTGGTGCATGCCGATAATCCCAGCACTCAGGAAGCAGAGGCAGGAGGATCTCTGTGAGTTTGAGTCCAACCTGTTCTACATAGGGAGTTCCAGGCCAGGTGGGACTACAGGGAGACCCTGTCTCAAAAACACCATACAAAAAACAATGTTTGAGTTGAAGTCCAAGACCAAACCTCCCTGTTTCCCTAAAGTAAATTCCTACATAGAGGGCCTGGTCTTCCAAAATCTTCTGCTTTCACAAGGGACCCTTGGCTGTACCTTCTTTGTGATCCTACTCTTAAGAATGAGATATTCCAGCACCCATACCAGTTCAACAAAAGGTTTTAGGGTGAGGGAAGGCCCATAAATATGCAAATGAGAGAGTTGAGACAAGATCTCCCTATAGCCACAACTGACCTGGAACTCTATGTAGACCAGGTTGGCCTCCAGACTGCTGGGATCAAAGGTATGTGCTACCACACCCAGTGAATATGCAATTTTAAAAGCTTCCTGTAGAGGCTCGAGAGATGGCTCAGTGGTTAAGAACACTGAATGTTCTTGCAGAAGACCCGGGTTTGAATCCTAGCACCCACAAGGTGGCTAACAACCATTCATAACTCCAGTTCTAGGAGACCCAACACCCTCTTCTGACCTCCACAGGCATTGCATGACAAGAGTTCACTTACATACATGTAAGCAACACACTCATACACATAAATTTTTTTAAAAAATTATCTTCATGTATATATACAATGCTTCACTGGATATCAGATGTTAAAATGCTAAAACAAGTAATAACAAAAACCCAGAAATGCATACTATTCTTAACCCACCATTGAAAAAGAAAATGTGGTACAAAAGGGAATCTCATTTCTTAAACCAAGGGACCTCTCAGGATTGAGAAGGCAAGGAGAAAACCTGACAATGTTGTTAGTCACAAGAAAAAGAGTATGAAACACAGGCTGAATCCTTTAAGAGAAGTTCAAAAGTACAAACACATGTTCATACATACAGCAGGGCAATTGGTGACTGAAGAAACCTACCTAAGTCCTTCTGAGCCCAAACCCCTGCTTTCCTCTAATCAAGACATTCAAGAAAACTCAACTTGATCCTGTCAGTGCTCAGCAGGACATCAGGCCAAAAGGCAATAATTACATGGCATCATACCAAAGTCAGATTTTATTCAACATCACAGCACTTCATGCTGTATTAATATATGCCCTGAAGGTCCTGATACAGGACAGAAATCTTGGTAGCTTTTATACCATGGATTCAGAACATGAAATAAATGGGAACATTTAGTTTGAATAGTACTCACAGTAAAGTTGATAAGATCATAGTATAGATGAAGGTGCTTCTGCTTAGTGACATGAATTGCTCCTGATTCATCTCTCTTAACCTGATGATGAAATGAAAACAACCTAAACATCAAAAATTGCTTGAGAGGAATTCTTAAATATTTAATTATACTCCATCTAGAGTGTGATTCCCAGTTGGTGTAGATAAACCAAAACATTGATAAATTATTATGTAAATGAAAAAAATAATTTGCTACATGATCTATACCAAAATCCAAGGCTACATGGCTGGTGGCCTAGTTGTCAGTATTAGTAGGTGCTGTAATTTTCACTCTGTTGTAACTCATAACATCAATTATATTGAGCTGAATATAAAATAGGAATGATGACAAGGGATGATGAAGCCAAAGAAAAGTTCATTAAAAAACTAAAAAGCCACTTGGAAGACTGAGAAGGGAAGATCAGTTGAGACCAGCCTGGACAACATAATAAATGCCATTTCAAAGTAGAGGAAGAGGAGGAGAAAGAAAAGAGAAGAGAGGTATGGGAGGAGGAGAAAGAAGAGCTATAGTGACAAAACTAGGTTTTTCTGAACTATGATACTAATATATAAGTTCACACAGTCCAAGACTTCCCTAAAGAAACTCAAGTCAATATTTTACTTATATACACATATGCTCTTTAATCCTCAATCATCCCTATAATGCTCTTTTTTTCTGTTTCTCCAATTTAGTAGAACACTGAAGAAGAAAGATAAAGCACAAGATAGACATGGCCACCTGAAATTAAAAGCATGCAATTCAACATGCATTTGCTTCTACAACACACCCCCACCCCAAAAGCAGTGTACTAGATATCTAAGTCACAATTCCTTTTTTGCCTCCTAGTCTCATCTCCCTCACTCAATACCTTAACAAAAACCTAAGATCACTTCATGTGGGCCCTTCATGTAATGCCCTCTTCATTTCACTGTATCATCCAGAGCCAAGTATTTAAGTGTAAGTTCCACAATTACAGTTATGTGACCAAGAGCAGTCACTTATTCTTTCTTAGTGTGCACATCTGAAAAATGAAAATAAGGCAGCACCAAGTTGTTTTTTATGTGATGCGTATGTTGAAAGTGTTTCATAAGCTAGAAAGTTCAATGACAACATTACCTAGTCCCATAAGATTTCCTAGAATACTGAAGAAAATCACTTCATCT